GAGTAAAATCAATGGGGTCAAAAATTGAAGGAGAGATTTGTTAATTTAAAAGTGACTCTTAAACTTGTTTTCTTCGATAGTTTAGATGCTTCAGTTAATCTTCATTTTTGTGGATGGCCAAATGCTCTGCCTGACAGTAATAGTGATGTCTTGTTTATGGCCAGGACACCTTGAGCTCTGTGGGCAAGATCGCCTTGTCTGTAAATCCTCTGTCTAGCCTTATAAACCCCAAGCTCAACTGGAATCTCACTTCGCAGCAGATGCAAGCTTCCATTTCAACGCCTGGTTTATCTGCCTTCACTTTCACAAACTCTGCTGCTGCCAAGGGTGCAGCTTTGGCTCAGGGTGGACGGGGAGTTCTCCCTGAGCCCACCCCACACTCAGAAGCAGCCCCACACTCTCCACAATTGCTTTCTGCTTTGTGGAAACAGTGCTTGGTTTGCTTTGTGGTATGTGGCTCTAATTAATTGATTGTTTCTGCCCCTTGCTCTCTGGGAGGTGACAAGCACTTTACTATAAGCACCATCTTTCCATAACTTTCCAGCTGGTTAAGTTAAGGAAAGGTCAGAGCTATCCACAGTCAGTTACCTGAATGTACATGCATGTATGTGTACGTCTTGAAAAATAGTTGTCAGGAAAATACTGTGGTAAAGAAACTGAGTAAATCAAGCCATGTATGAAAACCCAGCAGTTTTCTAATCACAGAGGCTGTACCAGTTTGATTTGTGTTCCTGTGATCAAACAGACCAAAACTATCTTTAGGGGGAAAGGCCCATTTCATCTCCCAACTCGGAGGTCACAGTCTGTCATGGAGGGGAGTCAAGGCAGAAACCGAAGCAGGGACCATGGAGTGATGCTGCGCGCTGGCTTGGTCCCCCTGCCTTGCTTAGTTACCTTTCTATATTGTGCAGACCCACGTCCCCAGGGAGGGACCCAGAGTGGGCTAGGCTCCCCCACATCAACTAATGATTACCGAAATGCCTCACAGATGTGGCCCCAGACAAGTCTAATCCTCAGTTGAGGAAATCCTTCAGTTGAGGTTTCCTCTTCCCAGGTGACTCTAGTTTGTACCAACTTGACAAAAACTAAGGAGCGCAATTATGCCTTGTGAACCTAACACATCACGAGAAACAAGACCTTTTCAATTCTTGTCCCCAAATTCTCATGTTAAACAATGAAAAACACAATCCAAATTTTCAAAGTCCCACAGTATTTAAAAATTTCCAATGAATTCAAAGTTTAAGTTCTTGTTTAAAAGTTTAAGTCTCTCAACTGGGCACCCTGCCTATACAATAGTAAAATTCAGCATATAAATATACGTGAAATCCATCAATAAAGATTAGTAATGATGGTAATGGCTCTGATCTCAGCAGATCATCAGAGAGTGCCGAGTTCTGGCCTCCCTGTGGCCTCCCTCTGGCAGAGGGCCTGAGAATGTAAGGGACTGCCTGAGAGCCCCTGGATCCTGCCTCCACATGGTGGTGAGCATACCCATTCCCCCTACCTGGGATTTCGTGAGGCCCCTCCCAGGGCCCCAGGGCAGATCTGGCTTTGCATCCCCTAATTGTGACATACCCATTCCCCCTACCTGGGATTTCCTGAGGCCCCTCCCAGGGCCCCAGGGCAGATCTGGCTTTGGTAGGTTAAGTCTGAGATCCTAGTAGACAGCCTAAGAGGGTGGGTTTCAACCTCCATTGGTGTAGTGGCTCTGATCTCAGCAGAACACCAGAGAGTGCTGAGTTCTGGCCTCGCTCTGGCCACCCACACATGGTGAAGGAAGCCTGAGTGCACCTGACTGGATCCTGAATTGGGATTCTGTGGGTGCTCCTGAATAGCTGATCAGAAGCCATGAGTTCCTTCCAAATTAAACTGAGAGAACCTGAATCCTGTAACAACCAGATTTATGTAACCAATAAAGAAAGGATCTAGGTACCCCAATAATACAAATAGAAGCTTACTTCAACTTAATTCTCATATCAGAATCATAAACAAAAGAAATTCATATGACAAAATCATAATGAAAGAATAATAAAACAGAAAGCCAAAACACTGTGTCCCCACCAAATTCCACCAGTCCTGTAGAAGAGTTCCAGAAGGAGAACCCCCTAGAGATAACCCAGGACACTGAATTTAAAAGGACA